TTTGTGAAAAGTATACTAATGAACGAGAAGCAATGAAGAATGAACTTAGAAAGATGGGAGTGGATAACCTAAAGCTTAAAAATATATTTACTTCTGGACTAGAAAGTTTATTTTTGTATCTTAAGAGAACAGAGCTGATTGAGAGAATTTAGAGGGAAAATCTTCTTGAGGTAAAGAAGTAAATTTATAAAAAAAATTTAGGAAAATTTTAAATTAAAAAAAATTTTTTTTTTGGTCCTCTTATTATGAAAGGGTAAAATCTGGTTCACACTCCAATACAGTAGGTGGCGATAATGTACCTTAACATTGGTGCTACCCGCCATAAAACCGAAGAAGAAGAAGACTCTTATTTCGGTCTGGTTATGTGACGTCATTAGGACGCGCCGCGATGCTGGGTTTGTTGTGGTTCGGCTGAAGAAAGGTTTGTGGTTTTTAACTGTTTAGCATCTTTAAATCGATGCAAATTGTTCGGTCTATTTTATAGTTTTAGCAAGCGGTCTATAATGAATTATTTACTGTTGATATTGTAATGCGGTGTCTGGCACGAATGCACGTTGTTTAGTGCTGAGCGCATCTGCTCGTAAGTAATCGCTCACTAAATCACGAACCCGTTCATTATAAGCACAGATTGCATGCAGTGATGTGAGAAACGGAGTCAGTGCACGCTGGCGACACCCGCTGGCCAGACAGGAGAACTTTCAGACAACACAGTGAAAGTGTAAGCTATTAAATGCAATCTAGAAATACATTAGTAACTAAATATGCAGTGTCTGCATAATTAATGCTCTTTTATTCATTTGTAATCGGAGCTTGTGTGAGCCATTAACACTCTGACACTGACCCCTTTGCGACACACCTAGAGATTAATTTGTATTTGTATTTATTTATTTCTATTAAGTAAAGTGGCTGTGTCCAAACACAGAGAAACTCCTGGTGAAGCAGCTGAGATCCGCGCGACACACTGTTATAAAGATGGCTTTTATTAAAGAGGAGAGTGAAGACGTGCAGATTGAAGAAGCGTTCAGAGTCAAACATGAAGATCCCGAGGAACTAACAGGTTGGTTTTCAGTCTCTAAGCTGAACTGTGACCCTTATTAAGATGTTTCCCTCTTCAGAAATCATTCTTTTTGAAGAATGTCATGTAAGTGGCTTTTATTTCAGGCTAGGGATCCAGTACTCTTTGTGTGTGTGTGTGTGTGTGTCTGTGTCTGTGTCTGTGTCTGTCTGTGTGTGTGTGTGTCTGTGTGTGTGTGTGTGTGAGAGTGAGTGAGTGTGTGTGTGTGTGTGTGTCTGTGTGTCTGTGTCTGTGTGTGTCTGTATGTGTGTGTGTGTCTGTGTGTGTGTGTGTGTGTGTGTGTTTGTCTGTGTGTATGTGTGTGTGTGTGTGTGTGTATGTGTGTGTGTGTGTGTGTGTGTGTGTGTGTGTCTGTATGTATGTGTCTGTCTGTGTGTGTGTGTGTGTGTGTGTGTGTGTCTGTGTCTGTGTCTGTGTGTGTGTCTGTGTCTGTGTCTGTCTGTGTCTGTGTCTGTCTGTCTGTGTCTGTGCCTGTGCGTCTGCGTGTGAGTGTGTGTCTGTGTGTGTGTGTCTGTGTGTGTGTGTGTGTCTGTGTGTGTGTGTGTGTGTGTGTGTGTCTGTGTCTGTGTCTGTGTCTGTGTCTGTGTCTGTGCCTGTGCGTCTGCGTGTGAGTGTGTGTGCGTGTGGCTGATACAATATTGATTTTAATAAACATCTTATTCACCAGTTCTGATACAGATACAAACATTTGTCACTTGCTCACTTATTTGAAATGTATTCAATAAAATATATTACTGTTATGAAATCATCAATTCGTTTTCGCTGAACATGGAAAGGATCTATTTAACATTCATCGGGCCGACATTATATAAGAGGCACAAGATTGAAAAATTTAATAAAATTAAATAAGACAACATGGCAACCTTCAGCAGTTATTTTTGCTATCAAATAGTTCTTATCAACAACATAAATGAATAAATATTACATTTTGGCTTATAGAATATTACATATTTCTTTAATAAAGTAATTAACAAATGCAGTTATATCTAGTAGCCTATACATTTTGCTACTTCAGAAAAAGATTGACAGCTTCCCTGACAAACTATACAGGGCTCAACGCTAGGGAATATTTCTATCACAAACAAATATATCACTTTACTTACTTTACTTTTAGTCATTTAGCAGACACTTTTATCCAAAGCGCCTTACAAATGAGAAGAAGTAATTACAACTAAAAGCTAAAACTCTATAAATACTATATATACACACACATTTAAGAAAATAAAAGAAATTAAATAAAAATGACAAATGCATACAACATTTAAATGAAAACAAAAAATAAAGCTAAAAACTATTAAAAAATATTAAAAGAACAAAAAGTTATGAGTATAATAATGATTCTAACATAACACTAAGCCAAACACCAAAAAACAACACACATATACATATGCTTGCACATATATATAAATACATTCAATATATATATATATTATTTCATTTCCATTTTGTATGTTGAAGTACTGAAATAACTCAAATTAAATAAACCTAAAACTTTATAAAAAGCCTATATAGACATAATAAAAAACAAATAAAATGACAACATTACTACAACTGTAACTAAAATAGATAACTAATACAAATCAAAGTACATTAGTTTATGAGTAATCCTAAAAAAATAACACTGAGCCAAACACACATGCTAAAATAACAACAACTTACTGACACGTGGTAAGAAATGGTTATAAAAAACGGAAACAAGTGAAACAAGTAGTCCGATAATACTACAATAGTATTATATAATAGTAATATTACACTGTATAACAAATGTATAACACTGCATGCTCTTCATTGTATAAATTAAGTAATATATTTTAAAATATAAAGTTGTTGGCAGGCTGCTTTACGTGTGTGCGCTCCAGATGTTTTGTGCATATCACACAGTGAGCACAGAATTGACTTCTATTTCACGTCTTCTTGCACTTGAATATTTTACTGCACCGTTTGTCATTACACCATTTCCACATCATTGCACATGTGCAAAACTTTCCAGTTTTGGTTTCAATCTGATCGAGTGTTTATATGTCCTATTGAACGGCTTAGAAAAGGTTTATCACACTCCTCTCAAACCAACTGAAATGTAGGTTTTGGCACTTTTATTCCGATCGAGTTTCATGGATTATTCTCATTGAGATTGAACTTTTAAACTGATTGTAATTGTAACACGATGCTCCATGTAAACACACCTAGTGATAGCTCCGTCCACTCTCTCCAGCGGCATTCCTTAGTGTTTGTACAGATTTCTTTTTGTTTTGGGCAAGTATTTCATTATTTTACCCAGAGAAAACGTTGGATTACGCAACGGACATTATACAACTCGTTGCCTTTACATATGGAAGCGTATAGGTAGCAAAATTCAATTTAAAATGCAATATGCAAAATGGCAATGTATTTCTGTATTTAAATTTACATTTTCCATTACCCATACGTGCAAAATTTGGTGCAAAAGGAAAATTAAATTATATAATTAACATTTGCCATTTCCAACAGTAGTCTTAATATGTAAATTGCATACTAATTTTAACGCTTTATAAGTTGCGAAATGAAAATGAAAATGTATAACCCAAATTTATTTGATGTGTGTAACATGTTGAAGCAGAAATGGTAGCAAAATGATAATTTAAATGCTATTTGTCCTAAATGCATTTAGACTAACAGTTAGGACACTTAGGATTGCATTTTCATCATGACGCCGTGAGATATTTGTAGCAAAATTCAGTGCGGCTTTGAAAATGCATGGTTGAGTATTCTTTGAGGTATGAAATATCTTTATTGTAATGCTTGTAATGTCCATTTATAGTCTTTACATCTTTACACAGCTCCTTAAATGTTTAAAAACCAGCGAATTGTCTGGTCGTCACGTGGGTCACCCGCAGTGTAAGACGCTCAGACGCTCA